AGATCCGCATACTGTGTAGTAGTTTCTGGGCCAAAGAAATGAGTTAAGGGGAATGTAATGTCTCCTTTCTTTTCCTGCATTTTAATAAAAAATAATGTTTCTGAAATTGCTGTTAAACAAAGCTTCCCTGAAGCCACTGGGAGATTTCTATGAAATGGAAATGGCGGTTTCAAATGAAAATTTTAATCAGGAGGGTGAATGAGAAAAAAAATGATGAACTTTTCCTCCCCAATGGTCTGCTGAGGTTCTACTCACAATGTAGCAGTTAACCTCCCACTGTGTTTGGCTTCAAAACTGTCCTGTCAACCCAGAGTGGAATTTCATCATTACCCCTTTAACTTTAGATAGGATCTAAGAAATCAAAAGAGTTTATTTGCTCTGGGTAGTGATAATTGATTAACTGCACACAGTAGGCTTGAAAGCTGAAAGGAGTAATAAGGAACCCTGATTAGTGAAATTGGTTAAGTTTGTTTAGCGGACATTTTTCTGAAGCTAAATTATAACCTTTTTGGTGGCAAGTAATAAATAGCTTTGTCTATAAACCAATATGGTTGGAGGCTAAATAAAGAAGGAAGGAAGGGCAGGGCTTCCCCAGGGCTGTGGTTTCCTGACCATGTTCTGAGGCCAAAAAAAAAAAATGCAACTCATCATGATATTGGAATGACTATATCAGCAGAGAACTCAAAAAACATCAATGTCTGGAAATGGACTATTCTTTGCCTAGATCAGCGGTTCTCAACCTATGGGTCGTGACCCCATTTGGGGTCGATCGACCATTTCACGGGGGTCACCAAGCAAGGCTGTCCGCCATTTTTTTCCCCTTTTCCGGCGGGTGCCTTACCTCCCTTGGGCTGGGCCAGCTGGTGGTCGGCCTGCTCCGTTTCTGCCGCTTGCCAGCTACGCCTCGGCCGGCGCAGGGGGTGGAACCACGCATGCGTGGCGCTCCCAGGCAGGGAAAGTCCTCGACTTATGACCGGTTGGGTAGTCCTCGACTTACGACCAGTTTAGTCCTCGACTTACGACTGGTTTAGTCCTCAACTTACGACCGGTTTAGTCCTCAACTTACGACCGGTTGGGTGTCGCGGCATTAAAAAGGTTGAGAACCACTGGCCTAGATGTCAAAGGGGGACACTATTAAAAGTCTCATTAAATTTTTAAAATGTGCTCACAAATGAGCAGGTTTTAATATAGATAGCCCTCAACTTGCAACCACAACTGAGCCCAAAATTTAGGTTGGTAGGTGAAACATTTGTTGTGAGTTTCGCCCCATTTTACAACCACTGCAGTGGTTAAGTTAGCAACACAGTTGTTAAGTGAATCTGGCTCCCCCCCCCAATTCATTTTGCTTGTCAGAAGGTTGCAATGGATGACCCTGGGACAGTGCAACTGTCATAAATATGAGTCAGTTGCCAAGGGTCTGAATTTTGATCACATGATCACGGGGATGCTACAAAGATTGTAACTGCGAAAAATGTTCATAAGTCACTTTTTTCAGTGCCATTGTAACTTTAAATGGTCACTAAATGAACTGTTGTAAGTCAAGGACTACCTGTCCTGATGTAGTGCACCCAAAATGGGTCAAAACGTGACACAAAATAGGCTGGGCAGGGATCCAATTAGCAAACTTGTTATTTTTTTCACTGACTCACATTTTTCAATTAGACTGATGATTTGGCCTGAATTATTAAACCAGATGCCTTCATATCCTTTGATGATTTGGAAAGGCTTTTGAGCTGAGAAAAATGGAATGGCTCAATTTTTTGAAGCAAGTTGGAATGATCAATCCAAGTGATGATCTGAATCAAAACATTGGTCTAATCTGAATAGATCCAAAACCAGCTTGCAAACCCTAGTAAAGACTTTAAGAGGTGTGGGGGTGGGGACGGGGGCGGGGGAGGAAGAAGTAAGACACATACCTTAATTGATGGAACCACAGAGGAACAAGACATACTACAGGGAGTTAAATCAGGGTTTGCTTTAACAGAAACCTGGTCTCCAGACAACTTTGGTTGTCATTACAATAGTGAAGATGCTTGAACAAGCCATGCATTCTTCACCCACATTCATAATATACGTGTTATTGTTAGCAGACTGAAATACAAAAAAAGGGTAGGAAAAAAGCACAATAAAACAAAAAAGACTACATTTAGATTTAGAAAAATACTAAAAAAATGATAAATTGCTTTCTGATGATACTTCCAGTCACTCCCATTTATATCACCAACCTCTAGCCATTGTTTAAATATTTAAGCTTTGCATTTAACATTATTAATAATAATAATAATAATAAAGTTGGAAGGGACCTTGGAGGTCATCGAGTCCAACCCCCTGCCCATTAATGATTGTTAGTTTCTTTTTAAGTCTTAGAAACCATATTGCAGATGTCTAAATCTGCCTTGGTTCTATGCTTCAATTTGGTTAAAAAATCTGTTGTGGATATATACTATCAATTTTGCCACTCAGGCATAGTCTCCAGTCTAATATAGTAGGTAAAGTATCTCTTTTCCAACTGGTTTAAAATATGGCTCATTAATTTGCATCCGGTGTGACATGGGATTGCAACATGAAAAAAGTGCCATGATTTGATACTCTGTGAAATAACCAGTAAGTCTGAAAAAGCACAAGATCATAGATATGCAAATAACATTGAATACAGCTTCCATAGTTTATTCAAGACTTGTACAGGTACCAAAACATAATGAAATAGAGTATTTTTATTACAACTTATAAAACAATTAAATAGTACAATTTATGCTTTAAGTTTGTTCTTCTTTTTTTTTCCTTTTACATCACAATCTATATTTCTATGCAACATTTATTTGCATTGCCATCGCTTACTTGGGAAGCCAGTGATAAAATTAAAAAGAAGGGAGAGCTATGCATTAATAAATTAATATTTTTACATCAAATAATAAAATATGACAGTTGTAGAAACACCTTGTTGGAGAGAAAGACCTCTCATTTTAAAATGTTCAAGGGTAGTCTACTTCAAACTCAAGACTGTTGGAATAATCATTTCCTAATGCATCACATTTCGTGCTGTTCCTTGCAAAAAAGAAACTGCTAATTTTGACTGACCACTTTCTGACATTAATGTTGATGTGTCTAATTTTAGATCAGAAATGATAGTTCAGAGAGCCATAAACCTGAACTACATTCATCCAAGGATGATGTGGGATTGGCTGGAAAGAGGACAAAAATGTCCAGTATAGCCATGCCCCAGAAAATTACATCAAAATATAAGCTTCTTTAGCCATATTGGTTTTAGCAAAGAGATCTCCTTGTATTCTAGTTCACCGTCTGAGCATTCAAAATCTATTCTTTCTATATTGGATACATGTTGTTTTTCTACTTATTCCATGAATGGTGAATCCACTAATATCAGTTGTCAGGCAAAAATGGGCTGTATTTATGTGCCAACTGTCTAGATCAAATATTTTCCAGCAGAGAAACACAAGTGTACAGGACCATCAGTCTGACTAACTAATACAGAACTATATATAATATACTTCTTTTTCTGATAAAGAAAACACAGAGAACTTAAAAAAAAAAACTAGTCAGCTACCCTTGGCTCAATTGTCATGTTCATCAACATCCTTTAAGAACAGGTTTTTGACTCACCATGGCACACTTAATAGCTTTATTTGCACAACACTTAACCAGATGACTGTATGGTGTGGTTGGTTTATGGTTTAATGTGTTCCCTAAAGAGGCTGGGTTTGTATTATATGGCAAATAATAAAAAGAACACAAGAGAAGGGTAAAACTAACCAGATGTAGCATGTTATCTGAATGCAGTTGGTAGATCTTTAAGTAACCTGTTCAAAATATTATACAAAACTAGCCAATGCATTTAATCCTTGAGCCTATAAATCCGTGCTTGTATTTAGCATGACTGATCATACCTGGAAATGCAGGTTCATTTCCTGGCCCAGTTCATATAAATGATTCCATAAGGAAAGAAATATCTTTCAAGTGGTTTGCAGATGGAATGGAGAAAAGATATATAGCTATTTGTTTGCATAAACTTTCAAGTCATATTCATAGCATTTTGCATTTATGTTTGAATTCAGCAAGATCAATCTGTGCCACCGCCTGAAACGGATTAATGAATTTCATGCAATTTCTACTATTTGGGCAATAGTTGCAATTTTCCTTCTCATTTCGTTTAATGTTTGAATAGAAAAAAGGTCTAGTTTTCACAAGTAACACTCAAATTCTCAAACAGTCAGCGAAATCAATTTCAATGTTTAATGTAAACAAGAAGGTGGTGGAATTTTTGAATGATAATGAGGCATAGTCCCATATGTAAGAAGTTCACGTTGAATAAAATTCTACTTTGCTCATACAACACAGAAATGCTATTTTAAAAAAAATCTCAATGGGGTTTTCTTGGAGGATTATCCCAAGGCATGCCAGCCCATTCAAGTGGCTAGTAAACTATGACTGATTTATTGCTAATTGTGGGAAAAGGAACACAATAAAGCAAGGAATTCCATTTTGATATAGCCCTTAATTTCCCAGCAGCACCTTTAGAAAACAGAAAAGCACCTTTAGTCTTGATAGTGCAGCACTGTCTTTGTCTAGATATCACACCTTTGTTGTGTATAGCAATTCACAGTCTCAGCAGCCACCATTCTCCTCCTTTTGAAGGGCTCGGCTGACAAACACCGTATTAGCTAACATGTCTCCATAGTATGCTCTACTTCCCTATTTTAGGTTCTCTGTATTGACTCTGTAGTGAAATAAATTGGACCACTATGCCAATCCAGTGTAGTTGGGATCACTTTTGGCCACGAAGAGTGAAGATTACTCAATCTTATTCCATCCTACGTTCAAAATCCAGTCCGGGAAGATTCAACATAAGGTTTACCATTGCAATTACCGCTCCATGTTGGAATGTCACCGTTTTCCTTGGCCATTTAGGTTAACATTTAGTTCACAAGGAACTTTGACAAAGGAGAATCAACCTGTTGGAGCGGCAGCATGAACTAATCAAATCAATTCTTCCATGTGCACGATTTACAGCACTGCTTGCCATAAAATTTATGATTGCAGACACCATGTTGAGGAACCAGGTGGCACCAAGCGAAGAAGTCCACACAAGAAGGATCGTCTGTTTTGATGAAATTATAGACAGTATGTTTAGTTTACAATTCAAATTAAACCACAATTAACATTTTACTCTGTGTATTGTATAGCCATTCACGTCCTATCAGATTAAACATTTGATGAGAACTGTTTGAGAATGTTTCAGGGACTTTGAATATGCAACCAGGCTGCTTTCTGTGGATTTATTTGCTAGAAAGAAGCTATCAGCTAACAGTTTGTGAAATTAGTATTTTGCATTATACAGTATTTAGCAGAGTAGTGCTGATCCAGTTGAGGAATGGAGAGAAAAGGACCTCCATATACACAAAAAGAGTGCCCATAGATTGTATTTATTTTATAAATGATCTTTTCAGATCAAATCGGATGTTTTAAGATACTGCACAGCCAAATAATTGATTTGTGGTGGACTTATTTTCTTCTTAAAGCACGTAATCGTGTAGGTCCTGTACATTAAAAAACAAACTACCTGAGCATTAAAGTACTGAAATGAGTTAGGAAAGACTGTAGCAAAGGTTAGCTGATTCTGAAATAAAAAAATAACAACCTTTCAGTTTATTCTTAATAGCTCATAGCAAAAAGGCAGAGGAAATTGCCAATACATATCAGAATATTTAGTATTGTCTATGTGAGAGATGGGGGATGTTATGGACTGAGAGATACCCCACAGTTATGGGAATGAAAGAGTCCCAGAATGATGATGATGATGATGATGATGATGATGATGATGATGATGATGATGATGATGATGATGATGATGATGATGATGATATAGCAGTTAGGGCACTTCACTCAAATCCCACACGGCCCCTTTTCCTGAGCATTTGGAATATGTTTGACCATTTTTCTTCTTAGCTCTCTTTTCATACACTTCCAATCCCCAAATGGTATTGATTTTTAGCAAAATGTAGTAAAACAAAAATGGGGCCTGGCTCCAAGCACATGGTGGTGTGCTTTCCTGGGGCCACATGATGTCAATTTCTGCTTTCCAATAACCAATTGCAGCTTTCCAGAGTTGCAGATTTTTTTTAAAAAAAAAATATCAGCCTTATCAAGACTGTCATTGACCCTGGGAACTTTTGTGGACAAAGTAGAGGTAACATAGCTATATAACTTTCCATCTTTTGTTTAGCGAAAGAGAAGAAAAACAGCGTCTCCAGGGGGAAAAGCCTGACGTTCTGAATTCATCGCAACTCATCTTCCACGTCGGAGCTCTCTGTGACACTAGAAAATCGAACCATTTTGCACCCAAAACTGTTTGCTATTTTTCCAATTCTGGAGGAGAAGAATGTGAAGCTTGGGGGGGGGGGATTGTTTTTGTTGTTGTTTTTGTAAATAGCCCAGCCCGCTACAGCATGCATGGTTTTCCTCCAAGAAAACTAAATTGACTTATAGTTCGTAGTTTACAGGACTTAGCAGGATACTCAGAACGACCAGTGGAGCAAATCAGGCTGTCTAGGGAAACATGTTCATTCTCCTTAAAAAGCTCTTTTTTCTCTCTCTCTTTTTGCCCCCATCATCTCTCCCCAATGCTTCACTGAGCAATGTGGTGAGTCAATGAAAGTGTTTGGCTTCAGTGCAGTTCAAGCACAGCTGGCCGTGTTCGCTGGTGGAGACAGATTAAAACCAGTGAGGAAATAATTGATCTCTGGAGCCCAGAGATCTAGCTGTGAGAAAGCAAAAAAGAAGTTTCTATCTCTAAAGGAGAAGGCTAAACGAAAAATGAGTAATAGGAGCCATTTAGAGGAGTTTCATTCTACTTTGCTTCCTTGCATTAGATAGAAATTGGGTCTGTGTGTATGGGGCAAAACTAAAAATGGGTAAAAGGAACCACATTGATGTACTGGAATAATACTTTTTCAGAGATCCAGGTTTCCATGCATATTCCAGAAAGACTATGTGTTCTGGAAGGAATCAGGCAGGAGCTCCAGAAGGAAATAAGTTATGGAAGGAATTGGAAAGCCATGATTTTGGATAGAAAATCTGTTCTTCTTTCTTAGCTAAGATGCAGCAAGTTTTGAGGGCTCCGAGGAGGTTCTGACAAGCCCGCCCTTCAAAAGCCAGACTGAGGTCTACAAAGATGGTAACCCCACCCTTCAAGTTGGTTATAGTCAGCATGTGCAAGAAATGGGCATGCACAGAGGCCGTTCTCTGCCGAGTCTTTCTGTTCCTGAGAAAGACCTCATTCCATTGGATGCTAGTTGCAATGGTCAGAGATACTTTTGTTTCCTTTTCCAGAAGCTCTAAAATATTCATCTTCATAGGCACTTGTTGTTATTCAGCCAGAATAACATGATAACAGAATAACAGAGCTGGAAGGGACCTTGGCAGTCTTCTAGTCCAACCCGCTGCTCAAGCAGGAGACCCTATACCATTTCAGACAAATGGTTGTCCAATCTCTTCTTAAAAACTTCCAGTGTTGGAACACCCACAACCTTTGGAGGCAAGGCATTCCACTGTTTAATAGTTCTAACTGTCAGAAAAAATTTCTCCTTGAATCTAGGCTGGATCCATCCATCCATCCATCCAAGTTTCCATCCATTGCTTCTTGTTCTGCCTTCAGATGCTTTGGAGAATAGGTTGACACCCTTTAATTTCTGGCAGCCCCTTAAGATATCAGAACACTGCCATTAAATCACCTTCTTTTCATCAAACTAGACCAGGGGTAGGCAACCTTGACTCTTTTATGACTCGTGGACTTCAACTCCCAGAATTCCCGAGCCAACCATGCTGGCTCAGGAATTCTGGGAGTTGAAATCCACGAGTCATAAAAGAGCCAAGGTTGCCTACCCCTGAACTAGACATACCCAATCCCTGCAATCAGTCTCACTCTTCGACCATGGACTGTAGCACACCAGGCTCCCCTGTCATCCCCTGTCTCCTGGATATCTACATTAAATTGCCTACACTTCCAATCAAGTCTACTGAGGTGGCCACATTTTAGCAGTTTGGTATGTATCAGGCAACTCTGTGGGTGCCTTGGGGGATAAACTGTAGCTCAGGTGAAGGACACCTGTTTTGCACGCAGACAATCCAAAGTCAGGGATGTTTATCTTCATTTAAAACATGTGCCACCTGCAGGCCTGCAGCTATCTCTGGCCCCTGAAGATCAGCATATTGTAATTTGTACAGGGCAGAGTGGAAAACATGACTGGAAAGCATTCATATGAACTACAGTTAATTATAAAAGAAATAAAACCCAATTTAGTCTGTCTCAGTCTATCTGAGATGGTATAGGTTCTCTGGCTTGAGCAGGGGCTGGACTAGAAGACCTCTAAGGTCCCTTCCAGCTTCTATTCTATTCTATTCTATTCTATTCTATTCTATTCTATTCTATTCTAGTTTTTGACCTGGTCTCAGCCATCTCTTTTGGACAGCAATTGGCTGGGTTTGCACAATATACTTAGTTCATCTATTATGTTAAATTGTTTTGTTGTTGTTGTTGTTGTTGTCCCACATATCACTGCATTGTAACAAACCAAGCAGGTTAAATTCACATAATATGTTCAGCCCAAAAAACTTAACCAAGGTTAACATTAAGTAAGCTTAGTGAGAACACAATGTTAGATCTGTAAATGATCCAGTCAGTGTTTTGTAAGATCATTTTTACCTTTCTTCTCTGGAGCAAGGCAGAAATTAGTATTGCAGGCTTGTGACATTGCCGGTTTCTGATGAAATAGACACCCGGTTGCTGGCTGGCCTTGAAAGAGACACTGCACACTCCGGGTTTGTACTCCCCCACCACATGTCACTGTGCACTATATGTGGAATACAGGAATAAGAAGTTATAGCCAAAGGTCCATTAAATCTTCACCCATTCCCCATTTTCTACATACACCTATGACTTATGATTTAGGGCAATGGTAGGCAACCTTGGCTCTTTTATGACTCGTGGACTGCAACTCCCAGAATTCCTGCTGGCTCAGGAATTCTGGGAGTTGAAGTCCACGAGTCATAAAAGAGCCAATTTAGGAGCACAATTGAGTCCAACATTTCCATTGCTAAGCAAGGCAGTTGTTAAATGAGTTGCTTCCCCCTTTACAACATTTTTTGCCACAGTTATTGAGTGAATCACTGCAGTTGTTAAATTAATCATGCAGTTGTTCAAGCAAATCTGGCTTCTCCCATTGACTTGGCTGGTTGAAAGCCCTCTGAGAAGATTACAAATGGTAATCACATGGATCCTGGAATAGTGCAATGGTCCTAAATACATGCCAGTTGCCAAGTGCCTGAAGTTTGATCCCATGACCTTGGGGATGCTGCAATGGTTGTAAATGTGAAAAACGGTCAGAAGTCACTTTTTTTCAGTGCCGTTGTAATTTTGAACGGTCACTAAACAAATGCTTGTAAATTGAGGACTACCTATAATCTTTATGCATAAAGCTGCAGTTTTGACCTGGGACTAAGCAGATACTGCATGATTTAAAGTTCCCCATACAGGCGTTGAGTTCATGGGGTGAATTTGGGCCATTTAGTTTCTCTATGCTCATAAACTCTATATAGAGTGGCTGTTATGAAAATAAAGTGAAAGAAGACCGACTTAAGTCATTTTGACTTTCTCCAAGGAAAGCTACGGTTTATATATAATTAATACTTTAATAAATTCTTCTCTTTTTTGATGATCTCTTTATAGAGATTATGACCATCTCAAAGCTATCAAAAAGTATTTTGGAACTCAGGATCATTTCAATGTTTATTTTTTAAAAAAACAAATAGTTGCCATAGACGTTACTCTCCATCCCTATATCTATTTATAGGATATAGTGATTTCAGTTTATATTAAAGTTAATTCTAGTTCATTAATAATTTGTTTTAGGTTGTAGATGTTGTGCTCTATCATATTTGTGCTCTATGATATTTTTCAATGAACATCTGAAGTTATTTAGTAAGATATACCTACTTTGGCATTAGTACTCATTTTCCCCCCTAAGGGCTTGATTATTATAAGCGAGATTAATTGGCTCAAACTTACTTCCTAGTTAACTAGTTAACATAGTTTCTATTAAGTAGAGACTCCAATTTTGATTTTAGTGATCCAAATCCAACATTATACTACACTTGCTCTCACTGGAACATCACTCCATCTAGAACTTACAACATAGAATAGGGCTAATAATACGGTTGAAAGGGACCTCGAAAGTAATAATAATAATAATAATAATAATAATAGTAGTAGTAGTAGTAGTAGTAGTAGTAGTGGTAGTAGCAGCAGCAGCAGCAGCAGCAGCAGTAGCAGTAGTAGTAGTAGTAGTAGTAGTAGTAGTAGTAGTAGTAATAGAGTTGGAAGGGACCTTTGAGGTCTTCTATTCCAACCAACTGTTCAAGCAGGAGACCCTATATCATTCCAGACAAATGGCTGTCCAATCTCTTCTTGAAAACTTCCAGATATGGAGCACCACAACTTCTGGAGCTAAGCCATTCCAATGATTAATTGTTCTCATTGATTGCTCCATAGTTCTAGCTTAGATTTCTCTTTAATGAACTTCCACCCTGTTACTTTTTGCCTGCACCTCAAGTGCTTTTGTAGAATAGGTTGACCTAATCTTCTGTGTGGCAGCTGCTTAAGCACCAGAGTTTTGTTCAATCTGATTCCATATTATCTTCTCTCTCGACCTCAGAACTCTAAATATGCAGAAATACAGTAAGTGGCCTTTTAACATTTTTTCACGTCTTTCATCTAGAGTCACTTGATAGCAGAGAATAGCCTTTTGTGGGCAAATTGTCTGCTATCCCCAAAACTTCTCATCTGCTTTTGCTCACTGCCAAATCTGAAAACCCATCAACTAGGCTGAACTTGTACAGAAGTGCTGAGAGATAAGCACACTTTAAATTATTTCTTCTTTGCTTCTTTGTTGGAATTTATATTGCCATGGGCAGTTAGGAAATTTGAGGAACCTGTCTGCTATTCTATGCAGGAACAAATAATGAGTTATTACAAGTCTACCTAGAAGAAATTCCCCGAAGCATTGGTGATGTATGTGAATTTGTCTACCAACGCTGTGTCCACAAGACAAATACAATCATCTCCATCAGATTATTAAACCTGAGCATCCTCTATGAGCTGTCAAATGAATCTTAGAGACAGGTGACCCATGCAAATATAGTAAGTTCCAAAACACAGAAATGTGTTTGCAAGGCAACACTCTAATCCAGACATCACAGTAGTAAGAGAAATCCAGACAGCCTTTGTTGGTCCTTGGATACATGCATTATGCCCCAAAACCTTGAATGGTTCAACTACAGTGCAGGTCTTTGAAGAATGAGTTGGAAAAAAGCACAAAATGCACAGGATTACAACTGCAGGGATTTGATGAACTAAGAGACAATCTTCAGCTGCAACAACTGACTTAGCTCCACTAGTATAATTACAGATAATTTTATTACCTTTTTCTTCTATGGGGTGTTTTTGCCAAAAAAAAGAAGAAGTAAATGTCGGATTTCCACAAAAATGTAAAAACATGGTCATGTTACTGTGGGATGTGGTAAACAGCTGTAAATGTGGACCAATTGCCTAAAATGTGGTCTTATATGTTTATTGTTTTTAATGTATTACTCCCTTTCTAGATAGGGAAGCACCCCTGGGTCCTTTTTCCAAATATCTACACGCAACCCAGAATTCACAATGAAGAAGCTGGCATAATTATAGGCGCCTACCTGTTGGCCCTTGCACAATGATGACCCATTTAGCTCTTTATTCCCCCATAAGTTCAAGGTGCTACGAAACAAGGACTTGCATATTCATAGCCACTTAGTCTGCACCTGAACTTCCTTACCTGCTGCCAAGGTGAAGAATACCACCCTGATATCCTATTGTACAGAGGATGCATCGGACATGGTCCTTGCTGGCACACTTCTTCCAAGTCAATGCTTGGCTTCTTAAGATTTCGACAGCGGCGCAAGGGGAAAGTGATCAATTTGCCACCAATACTTTTCTCAATGCACTGCATTTCTCGCCTCCTGATACCTGGCCCACAGGTAGCAGAACACTGGGGACAATAAGAGACATACAGAGGTTTATTTAAAGCTGGTTTGCAAAATATATAACCCACTACCAGACACACTGCAGGCTCCAGATATTCCCCAAATTGGACTTTTTGTGCTTGCCTGGCTGAGGAATTCTGAGAGTTGAAGTCCACAAGTCCTAAAAAGGCCAAGTTTGAAGACCCCTGCTCTAATCTAAAACATCCTACTTGATGTCTTTACTGCTGATAGCAAATTGCATTTTGCATGTTTTGCATTCATTTGCTTCAGCTCTTTATTCCCCTCAGTTTAATATTGTTTCCATTTGCCTTTATCTATTACGCTGTAAGAAGCGTCTTACTGAAAGAATAATGAGAAATTGGAAAATCAACCGCAAGGGTCTTCTTGATAACTCCTAATTTTAAGTTAGAACAGCAAAGTTCCAAGATTCTTAAATCTATAAAAGGGTGGATGGGACAATTTTTAACAACAGGTTATGTATTATTGTATATTTTTTCATGTTGTGTTTTGTAGACAGGCCTCATTCCGTGATTCAAAGAAGCATCGTTGCTTTACCTCACTCCAAGCAGAGATCACCCATTGAAGACGCTCGTTTTTAGGGCATCGTCCCAACACGCAAGTCTGTTGCATTTCTGGCTTTGTTTCACTGTTGCACAAGCTCTCTGGCACAATTTTTAGGACGGAGGCTCCTACACTTTTGCAGGAAACGTCACGTTTCATTGTGCCTCGTCCACAGGTTTTGGAACACTGTATGGGATTGGGAAAAAGTCTGACGTTAGTGATCTTAAAACTGAGCCCGTTCTACGTCATAGGACAATAAACCAAATAAATTTCATCCCATTCTGGGTTATATACTGCATACATATCTCCCGTCTTCCCTCCAGGAAAAAATCCAACATATAAGGTTCCCAGAAAGATTTCGAGTGCAGCTATTTATTTATTTATTTTATTTCCATCCTGCTTTTCAGTTTCTTTAACTACTGTAGTAGTTTACAATGACCTAAACCAGGCTCACTTAACTTCATCATGGGCCTTAAGGCTATGTTTAAATTATATATTTAGTTATCTATGGGGCCAGATCAAATTATATATTCCTAGTCATCATTTCTTGGGCTTTTCTGAAACAAGGAGAGTGTCAACCATTTTCGCCCCACTTAATATACTCCAGCAATTAGACAGCTTCTGTGAGTATTTGGCAGGAATTAGCTATCAGTTAGAGCCACCAAGAGTTCTCAGATTCATACATAAGCCCTCCGAAAGTTTGACTTTTGATTGCATTTTGCAAAAAGCCACTTCATCTTTGTCTTACTGTATCCCAAACACCAAACATCTTCTTCTTTTTTTTCTTTTTCGCTAGTCACTTCTAACCTATTTTTTAACTCGGGCTAATGATAGATGAAACAGTATGTTTCAGAAAAGTAAGATAATACTCTGTCTTAAAGAATGCTCATTAAGAGAAAGAATTTGACAGGGGGTACTTTCATTGCTGGAGCGCCCCCCCCCCCTCTTTTCCTTCAAAAGAGGCTGAAAGATTTTTGCAACAGCATATTCACTGAAATGAAATCTGCGATACGTCTGTCTTGGCAAGTGTACAAAACAGCAAGACTTTGTTTCACTCCAGTGAAAAAGCTGCTAGACATTTCATATCTTTCAGAAAAGGGGTGTGTGTATACATATTGGAATTTGCCTGAGGCCCTATGCTACCAACTATGCTTTTAAGAGCAGGTTTTTACTATATTATGATATTAGGTTGCTTGAAATGATACATTATCTAAAGGGGGGGAAAACATCGTTCATTTTGCTGGGTGCCGCTGATCATCACTGAACATTTAATGCCTAGTTGGAAAAATGAATTTACATGTACTTAGTGAAGTAATTAATAATAGCTGTCTCTACCTTATTCGGGGTTTTTTTTTTTTTGTATTCCTTCTTAGTACTCTGCTACGGAATGTTTAATTTTCCCTAGCTCCAGCTGGTGTGTCATTTGTCACCCTACTTGGGGGTCTAGTGCAGGGGTCTGCAACCTTGACAACTTTATGACTTGCTGGCTGAGGAATTCTGGGAGCTGAAGTCCACAAGTCTTAAAGTTGTCAAGATTGCAGACCCCTGGTCTAGGGCAACTCAGCATGGCCAGCTTGCCATGGACAAAATGAAATGCAAATGACAAAAATTAAAATAATTATTTAATTGTTTTAAATTCTCTGTGATAGTCCCTAAAATATCACAAGATTACTATCATGTCAACCCTATTTCTTCTCTTCGTTACACAAGACAAACCTACTGTAGTTCCAGCAACCATTCATGGTACGGTTTACTAATCTGGCTGCTCTCCAAGTATCTGAACGTCCACTCCCCAAATTCCAAACTCCAGTTAACCATTGGAGATGAACGTCCCACATTTCTGTCCATGTTGCCAAAGACCTCATGTCTTCCAGTTTATTCTAACTGCTCAACTCCAGTGGACAGGTACTATATAGCTATTCTGTAGCTATACACACACACAGGCACATTTCTCTAATAAAAAATATATTGAGATCTAAGGAATTTTGGAAATGTGAATATATGTAGATGTAAATAGCCTGATAGTATGTTTATAATTTAAATAAACGTTTCTGTCCAAACCAAGCAAAAGTAATGGAAGACACATATAGAATGATGTTCATAATAAAAAACAGACAGTCCATTCTTCCTAGATTAGATGGACCACTGACTGGCTCCCCACAATTTTTCTACAGACTCCCATCTCAATAGAACAGGGATCCCCAAGCCCCAGTCTGTGGACCAGTACCGGGCTGCGGCATGCCAGCAACTGGGCCACACAAACAAGCAAAGTCCCATCCATGGGATGCAGGCAGCACACAAACCACGCACTCTCCATCCCGCGGAAAAACCTCCACGGAACCGGTCCCTGGTGTCCAAAAGATTGGGGACCTCTGCAATAGAAGATTATGGCAAGTTTTTAAAAAAAAATTACCTGTGACCAAGGCCCTGGATTCCATTCTGGTGGGCAGTCCTGGTTATTACATGCCTGTATTTGTGCTGGAGTGGTTACTGGGCAGAGGGCATGTGCCACAACCTCTTCCTTATGAAAAGCCTTTTTCTGGACACACTGGATATGACGGCTTTGCTGTCCCCCACCACAGGACTGGCTGCAAATGCTCCATTCACTTGCTGACCAACTGAAAAATATATAGACATATATGATATATGACAGTGATGGCAAACCTTTTAGAGACTGAGTGCCCAAACTGCAACCCCAAATCCACTTATGCATCGAGTGCCGGGTGGGTGTGGCCCATTGGCTGGGCATGGCCCGTTGGCTGGGCGTGGCCAATTGGGTGGGCATGGCTGCAGTGGTAACAGCAGACTGGGTGGGACTAAAAAGTTCAATCAATCAATTCCAACTTTGCAAGAATATTTTTTTTCCCGCGAGAAGTTGAAATTGACTGATTGAACCTTTTTTTTTTTTTTTTGCACACGGCGGCGGAGGCCTAAAGCGAAAAGGTTTTATAAAACCCAGCTGAAGGCCTAGGACTGGGGCTACCGCACGCGTGCCCACAGAGAGGGCTCCGAGTGCCGCCTCTGGCACCCGTGCCATAGGTTCGCCACCACTGATATATGACATATGACACCCTTGTGATCTTTATTAGTAATATAAATTTTCCTGAATCACAGCTCCTCCACTAGAGGTCTGGAAGTTTGAGGCTTCCGTGCAGAATCTTTGCTATTCCTAACACTGCACTTTTCTGGATGGAGAGCTCTGATGTTCTTAGTATCTGTTGGCGCTACTATCCCAGCTTAGGTGTCTCAGCCTTGGTTGCTCCTACCACCGCTGGGATCACTTTGGCATTTATTTTCCACATCCTCCCCAGTTCTTCCTTCAGGGCCTGGTACTTCTCCAGATTCTCACACGCCTTCTTCCTGAAATTGTTGTCACTTGGCACTGCTACATCTATCACTGCTGCTGTTTTTTGCTCCTTGTCTGGTTGAGATACTGTATATGTATTCTGATTCTGAAGCAGAGGTTGAAGCTATAGGTACCATCTCCATATGGGCAATTTGTGGCTCTTGGTCTATTTTCTGGCAGATTTTCTACAGACCAAGAGGTGGAAGAGGTGAAGCCAAAACTCTGGAAATAATTCTTTCTCCCTTTTTTTCAGCCAACGAGGGAACAATGAAGGTGCTAAGCACTGATTGCTTTAAACTTATTTAAAATTATCCCTGAGCTATGTTTTTAATTAACAAATTATTCGATCAAGGAATTTGTCTAGTCTATATTCTATTTTATATGTTCTGTTCAAAAAGGAGGAGAAATCTGTCAGGACAGGAAAGACAGAAAAAAAATACATTAACTATAATTTAACAAGCCATTTTGGGGGGGAAATGTCCATTAAGTCCAAATGTTTCTTCAATCTGAATGTATGTAATTGAAGCAGTGCCTGTCATTGGCATAATGACATGCTTGATGTTTTTATATATTTATGCCACTTGCATCAAATGAAGTAACATCTGGTGAAAATTGGATAAAACATCAATTATGTCATTACACAGATAAGATAATTGGTGCAAATGATGAAAACACCAATTAGGTCATTACAGAAATGATGTAAATAACATTAATTGTTTGAATAGACTTCAGAAACAAAGGACTTTCGTTACTTTGTGGGGGTAAATTTTAAATGCAAATTTGGCCGGTTGCATTCAAAGTCCATTAAAAGGTTATTGAATGGAGGTTTTACTTGCAATGCCTTTTTTTTTTTACTTTAAATGCGATCATTGTTGTCTTCAATTCCACTGCTTTAGAATTTTGCTCTCAGCAAACAGTTACTTGAACCATATTAGAAATATGATGTAAAAATTACCTATCTTAAAGATATGCAAAATGTTTCGAATTCAAACTATTTCCAATTCTAAATGGTTTGTATTTATTTATTTTTTTATAATTGTTGTGAAACACTCAGTGGGTTGAGAATGGAGTGGAGGATGAAGCAAATTAGGAGAACAAATAATGCAGTAATTACATAAATTGGGCTGCACACATCCCACTCAAATTCATATTTGTATTATTTTACTTCACAGTTATAGACCTATGTATGCCAACTGGAACTTTTCCGGCACCATTTTTCAAATAGAAACCAGCATGCAATCAGCATGAACCACAGCTGTATTATGCCCTTGAAAGTGGGAAGGGAGGCTGCCTCCCTGATGTGTTAATTACATGGAAGAAAATCAACTGGAATTAAGGAGAAACTTCCTGACAGTGAGGATAATCAACCAGTGGAACAGAAGTTGCCTCCAGAGGTTGTGGGCACACCATCGCTGGAAGTTTTTAAAAAGAGACTGGACAATCATCTGTCTGACATGGTATAGGTTCTCTTGCTTAAGTGGGGGGCTGGACTAGAAGACCTCCAAGGTCCCTTCCAGCTCTATTCTATTCTATTCTATTCTATTCTATTCTATTCTATTCTATTCTATTCTATTCTATTCTATTCTAACTTATGAAATGCAAATGGCAGAGATGCAGTAGATATAGTTCATGGATTTCACAGGTTGTAAAATGATTTAGTTCTAACTCAAGTTTTTTCCTTGACCTGCTTCCCTTTCTGTGGCCAACAGCACTGGACAGCCAGCCTTGTCACCAAAAGAATTACAGTTGGAAAACAGTATCTTCTAATGGACCATTTTAAGATTCACACACCAGCTGCAAAGTGCAGCAGCTTGTATTTGCACCATATCCAAGGCACGCCACGCTAGCTACTTGTGTGGTTCTTTCGCCAATTAAAATAAATGCTATGTTTTAGAAGCTTCCAGCCACAATTAAAAAGCAAACACAAACATTTACAGGGAAAGCTGAAGAAAACTTAATGGCAGGCTTTTCTCTCTGAGAGAAAGCAGAGCCCAGGGTACAGAAATAAGCCTTTGGCAGAAGATTAGTCACACCCAAACAGAATCCTTGGCTAGGGAGATTATCTCAAATTAGTTGTCAGACAATGGCATGGCTCAAAGCAAGGCAATACAATTGCTAAAACTATCACATGATACATTACCCTAATTAAACCTTATTTCTGCCTTTTTGTGATTCTCTTACAGTTTCCTCTGGATCTCCTGCAGAGTGTGTGTGTGTGTGTGTACATATGTGTATGTGTCAGCTCCAGACTCCTTATTAGAGAGGAACAGAAAATAAGAATGCCAATGAGCCCTAGGTTGGGGCCCCAGAATTGGAAGTCATTACATTAATTTGTTTTAATGTTATCGTTAAGTATTAACAATAATCTCCGTCACTCTGTACACCTATTCTTGCTTTCTTCTGATTGGTTTTGGAGGACACCCTCTGGAAAGTCACTCAAAGGTCCAATATGGCTCAGAAAGTGTGAATCATGATGACAGGAAGGAGCATTGTGACTAGGATTTTGTGTGCAGTGTAGAACCACCATAGGTGGAGACTCTCAAGGAACGGTCATAGAAGATCCATCACAGGAACAAAACAATTACCACATAAATAGGGCTGGCCAAATCTTCACATAGTGCTTTACTCTGTTGAGTGCTTGAGCTAAAGTATTCCTTCACAGCAAACTGTACAGTGACACTGAATTTACAAATAGTAGAACAGCTCCCTTGCTTCTCTTTGTTGGGTATCTTGAAGCATGGGTCTTTCTCCAAAACCACCCCAAAACTTTAACTATAGAAGCACCTCTTTAATAATTCAGAGTTTTCTCTGTCTGGTCTGCAATTGTCTAAATTCACTGAAACCAATCAACACAAGATGCTCATTATCTAGAGATGTAATCCTCAAAAAGGTTTGTTCTCTGCATGCAGTTGTTAACCATATCAAGTTTCAACTGTGAATAAGATATGGCTTAATTTCTGCTGATTAGGACCTGTTTATTGCAGAAGCTAAGCATTTTATCAATTCCTTGCTCTTATCTAGACCAAAGATCCCTTTCTAAATTACTATGGAATACTGAATTTCAAGAGAAGCATTTTTGCTACTCAGTTTGCCTCTTGTTGCTTACAACCCCTTACGAACACAGAATGCAGAATAACAGAGTTGGAAGGAACCATGGAAGTCTTCTAGTCCAACCTCCTACTCTATATCATTCCAGACGAATGGCTGTCCAGTCTCTCCTTGAATGCCTCCAGGGATGGAGCACCTACAACTTCTGAAGGCAAGCTACTCCACTGGCTAATTCTTCTCACTGTCAAAAAATTCTCTTTAGTTCTAGATGGGATCTCTCCTTGATAAGTTTCCATCTGTTACGTGTTGTTCTGCCCTCAGAATATAAGTCAACCCCCTCTTCTCTGTGACACTATCTCAGATATTGGAAGACTACTATCATGTCCCCCACAGTCATTCTCTTCATTAGACTAGACAAACCCAGTTCCTGCAATGGTGGGTAAATGTGAAGGCTGTATGTATATAATTATGTTTTTACTTGTGGTTTTTACTTGTGTGTAGTGTGCATTGTGGACAGCACTTAATTTTGTTGTGAGATATACAATGACAATAAAGATATTCTATTCTATTCTATTCATCGTATGTTTTAGCCTTCAGAACTTTTATCATCTTTGTTGTTCTTCTCTTCACTCTTTCTAGAGTCTGAGCATCTTACTTGTATTGTATTGTATTGTATTGTATTGTATTGTATTGTATTGTATTACATTGCATTGCATTGCATTGCATTGCATTGTATTGTATTGTATTGTATTGTATTTGTATTGTATTGTATTGTATTGTACCTTCAGTTTCTTCAGTGCAGAGACACTGAGAACCTAGGAAAGTAAGATTGCTCAGGCTACACCTGCTGAGATTCAGCGTTTATAATCTGAGTCAGAATCCAAGCTTTTTGCTCCCCTGCTTATCTGTGCAAGTAGCACAGTTAAATCTTCAGCATTCCTTCATAGTCAACCTTAATCCTTAGTCACCATTTGGGAGATATCAGCTAAAGTAAAAGTCTATACTTACTAGGCTGGGCAAGGATTTGCATTGCACATCATTGTTTCTGTTAAGGGTTTTGTCCTTGGGCCACAGAATGAAGAATTTACACGAGTTTGATGATCCTGTAAACACACGGCTTTCGCTATCAAATGCCCTGCAAGGAATTTTGTAAAAAAAAAAAAAAAAAAAAAAAAAAGACAA